GTAATATACTGCTTGCCTTGACATTTGACCTCTGACCCTTTTCGTAGTTCTTAAATATCTAGTGATGGTTTCTTCTCTCTCTGATCTCTATATCACAGGCTGATGGCAGCAAATTGCAGAAAGACTTCAAGGCATATTTGGCGGCAGTCAAAAGTAAGACTCTAATGGACCGTTCACACCAAGAACGAAAACTATAAAGATAACTAGGCTATATTAGCGTCCACACCAACGGGCAATATCGTCTGTTTATTCTAAGCGCACACTCGTCTGCCGCTTTAAATTCTCAAGCTCGTTATAGCAGGATTGATACTGATTGTGTGTCAATATTTTTATTGTTCATCAGCTGGGAAAAAAGTGATTCCAACGATATCGTTTCTCTGTGCCTTTATCGTTATAGCTGTGGTGTGGGCTTTTATTTAATATTGAGGATGATTTTTAGAATTGTATCTTCATCGTTATCTGTATAGTTATCATCCTTGGTGTGAACAGGCCTTAACTGTGTGTCTGTGTACTGTACAAAGAGAGTTTTAAAGAGATAGTTCACCAAAAATGAACATTCAGTCATCATTTACTCACACTCATGTTGTTCCAAACCTATATGACTTTCTTTCTACTGTGGAACCCAAAAGAATATATTTTGGTAACCATTGACTTTCATTGTGTGAACAAAAACACTGTGACATTATTCAAAATATATATATTTTTATGTTCCATAGAAGAAAGAAAGTCATAATTTTTCTTACACGACTTGAAAGTGAGTAAATGATGACAGTATTTTCTTTTTTTTTGGTGGGGGTGGGGTGAGCTATGCTTTTAACGCCTTTGTAGTGGCATATGACAACGTTTAAAGCAAGCTGAAAGCGAATCTAGTAAATTTGAAAGAAAATGCAAACACAATCATGTCCAAAAACATAAAAAAAACCCATCTGTTCATTATGGTCATAAGGCAAAAGTAGAACCAAATGTGAAATCACTCTATCATGCTCGTTTGTATTTAAATGCAGCCTTCTCTCGGATAGAATACAGGAAAGATTGTCACTGAACATACTCAGTCCTGCATCTATAGCTCTACCTGCCTCCATGTGTAACAGAGATAAGGGAGTCACAAATTCTTTATAGGTTGTAAACATGTGGAAAGTGTTTTCAGGTCTGGCCATATTGGTTTCCTCTTAAAGGGATAGTTCACCAAAAAATTCAACACTGTCATTATTTACTCACCCTCATTCTGTCATCATTTACTCACCCCATGTTTTTTTCTTCCTTGGAACATAAAAGTTTGACAAAATGTTGTTGCAGTTTTTTTTTTACATTAAAAGTGAATGGGGACTAGATCTGTCAAGCTCCAAAAATGACAAAAAGCACCATAAAAGCAGTCCGTACACTATATTACAAATGATTGAGACGTCATTTTCATTTATGGATGAACTACCACCTTCGGTGAGTAGTACATTAAAGAAATGCAAAGCAAGCAGACGGCCTTCTTCCTTTTACAGCAGTCTCTAAAAAGTGTGCTGCCCTAATGCAGAGCACCTTCCCCCTCAGCTTCCTCCCCTGTGGCCACAGCAGTTCTTACTTCTCTGAAAGACACAAAGAGAAATAGTATGCATGCGTGTTGGGTTGAGTGATGGAGCATTTGCCGTCATCTGTGTCAATGCCTACTGTGTCTCCTAGCTGACCCGTTTTTTGTTTCCGCAGCCATGCACGAGTGTTCGAAGCGTCTGCTTGACTGTCTGGCAGAAATGTACGACCCCGAGTGGTTTGGCAAAGAGGAGGTGGACTCCATCGCAGAGGTGTGTAAGGATGTCACTGGCAGAGCAAAACACTCTGTCTGGATTGTGTGACATTAGTGATTTCAATGTGAAAAATCTCATAGGAAAGTAAAATCTCTTTAATATGTCAGTTGTTTCTCCTTGAGTCTCTTGATTCTCACATGTGCCTCCTGAAAAAAGGGCCGCAGTAATCTCAAATGTGTCTCTTGTAGAGTTTCAGAAGAGATCTCAGTAATGTCACAAACCAGATACCAAACAAGAGGAAAATGTTAATGATCAGAGGAGACTAGATTCAATTTAATCAAGTCTCATACTTTTCTCAGATGTGCTAAGATACCAAAATCTGCCATTTTATTTGAATATACACTACCATTCAAAAGTTTGAGGCCAGTAATTTTGTATTTTTAAAGAAATTAATACTTTCATTCAGCAAGGACACATTAAATAGATCAAAAGTGACAGTAAATAAATTTGCAATGTTCATGAAAAGAATTATCACCGTTTCCACAAATGTATCAGGCAGCACAAATGTTGAAAACAGTTGTGCTGTTGAAAACAGCACAACTGTTTTCAACATTGCTAATAATAAAATAACGTTTATTGAGCACCAAATCAGCATATTAGACTGATTTCTGAAGGATCGTGTTGCACTGAAGACTGGAGTAATGATGCTGAAAATTCAGCTTTGCATCACAATGCAATGAATGACATTTTAAAATATATTAAAATATAAAACAGTTATTTTAAATTATAATAATATTACACAATATTACTGTTTTTACTGTATTTTTGGTCAGATAAATCAGCCTTGGTGAACATAAGAGATTTCAAAAACATTAGTAAAAATCTTTCCCACCCCTAACAGAAGTGTATATTTTAATTCTGAATCCCAAAAATTTAAATTTGCTAAGTATGTACTCACCCTCAGGCCATCTAAGACATAGATGAGTTTCTTTCTTCAGAATGAGAGTCCAAACAGCTGATAAAAACAACACAAAAGTGTGGATTATTGTGATGTTTTTATCAGTTGATTTGACTCTCATTCTGACGGCACCCATTCACTGCAGAGGATCCATTGGAGAGCATGTGATGTAATGCTAAATTACATCTTGGATGGCCTGAGGGTGAGTAAATTTTTGGGTGAACTATTACTTTAAAGGGACAGTTCACGCAAAAATGAAAATTCTGTCAATTACTGACTCTCATGTCGTTCCAAACCCGTAAGACCTTCGTTCATCTTCGGAACACAAATGAAGATATTTTTGATGAAATCCGAGAGCTTTCTGACCCTGCATAGACAGCAACGCAACTACCACGTTCAAGGCCCAGAAAGGTAGTAAGGACATTGTTAAAATAGTCCATGTGACATCAGTGGTTCAACCTTAATTTTATGAAGCTACGAGAATACTTTTTGTGCACAAAGAAAACCACAATAATTACTTTATTCAACAATAAAGGTCTTGCGGGTTTGGAACGACATGAGGGTGAGTAATTAATGACAGAATTTTCATTTTTGAGTGAACTATCCCTTTAAGACTGTATGCAAGTGAAAAATCGCTGCTGTCCACACTGATGCTTTGATCTCTGTTTTCTCATTATTCTGCAAATTGATTTTGTTTCCTACATTTCTTTGATTCCACTCACCCATCCCTCTGTGAGTAAAGGAGATGATAGAGAAAGAAATGGATAATAATCTGGAGGTAAACATGACCAATGACATCTCCAGACCACAGGTCTAGCCTAGAGCTGGTGCTGGTGATGCTAGAGTATGCTACTGCAGTGAAGTCTATTTTAGAATAGTTCTGTTCACATATATTTAGACTTTTGAAATCATGTGTTTTGTCAGAGTGTGAGAGAGACAGCGTAAGAATATGTCTTGCTGTGCATGTCTGATCACATTTGTTTTACAGGACACTGACCTCCTGTGGCAAGATTTCCACCAGAATCTTGTGGACAATAACCTCATTTCCATGGACACATATTTGGCTCAATTTCCAGACATAAAGGTTTGTTTTTGCTTTAATAAGTGGTACATGTAAGCATTTCAACATTTACAGGAGCTAGTTAGTTATTTTATTGCTGTCCGAATCCAGAATATCTGTGTTTTTCCACCCGTGTAAAATTCCCAGCTAAATTACCTACTGTTTTTGACAAACACCAAGGTTGTGTGGTAATTTAATTGCCGTGTGAATCCACATCTCTCAGTTTACAAGAAGGGATCAATCGAAAAGTGGTTTTGTAAATGTCTTTTGACCACTGCCAAGCACAGTATAATAATGGTTGTGCTTTGTGGTAATGTGCACGCATTTGAAATATGGACACTTTTATTACTGAAATGCTGGAAAATGTTTACAAGAATAATATTCCGTCACGGTTCCACTACAGTGAGTAGGAGCTGTTAAGAACAAAAAAAAGAAAAAAATCATGTACAACTTTGAAATGGGTCATTATTATGGTATGCAATAAATTTGTAAAATATTTATTATAAGCTATAAAGTTATACACTGTAAAAAAAACTATTTCAACTTAAAAACTTAAGTGTAAAAAACTTAAGTGTAATCAGTTTGGTTGTACAAGTCATTTCAACTTACATTACGTTAAACTGACTTAAAAAAAATCAAGCTAAATTTCATATCATTCATAACTTTTTTTTAACTTAAACTTCATAACTTATAAAAAAAGCTAAAACTGCTTTACTTATTTTGATGAGTTAAAGTAACGTAAAACCATAAGTTGTCATGACTTACTGATCATAATTTTTTACAGGGTATAAATTAGGGCTTGCACAATTAATTATTTTACTAACCGAGCAATAGTCAAATGTTTACCTTATGTAAATAAGAGTTTGCTTTAACTTATTTCTGCTAATTTCCATATTTTTGAAATAACATCAATTTGAAAGATAAAATGCAAGACAGAAATCCATTTCATCTATAGTGCATTGATTATCCTATTTTTTAAATAGTAATATTAAACATTTAAAAAATATTTAAAAATAAAATAATAAATAGAGATATTATTTTCCTGCCATTCAATTAAATATGAGAAATCCAAGCAATAACAGACATTAGGTGTGTTCGGTTTCATGCAGTGCTGTGCAAACCAATCGGTGGCTGACTTGAAGCAGTGCATGCCGGTTAGAAATTTTCTCGAGACAGCCTTCGTTCATCTTCGGAACACAAATGAAGATATTTTTGATGAAATCCGAGAGCTTTCTGACCCTGCATAGACAGCAACGCAACTACCACGTTCAAGGCCCAGAAAGGTAGTAAGGACATTGTTAAAATAGTCCATGTGACATCAGTGGTTCAACCTTAATTTTATGAAGCTACGAGAATACTTTTTGTGCACAAAGAAAACCACAATAATTACTTTATTCAACAATAAAGGTCTTGCGGGTTTGGAACGACATGAGGGTGAGTAATTAATGACAGAATTTTCATTTTTGAGTGAACTATCCCTTTAAGACTGTATGCAAGTGAAAAATCGCTGCTGTCCACACTGATGCTTTGATCTCTGTTTTCTCATTATTCTGCAAATTGATTTTGTTTCCTACATTTCTTTGATTCCACTCACCCATCCCTCTGTGAGTAAAGGAGATGATAGAGAAAGAAATGGATAATAATCTGGAGGTAAACATGACCAATGACATCTCCAGACCACAGGTCTAGCCTAGAGCTGGTGCTGGTGATGCTAGAGTATGCTACTGCAGTGAAGTCTATTTTAGAATAGTTCTGTTCACATATATTTAGACTTTTGAAATCATGTGTTTTGTCAGAGTGTGAGAGAGACAGCGTAAGAATATGTCTTGCTGTGCATGTCTGATCACATTTGTTTTACAGGACACTGACCTCCTGTGGCAAGATTTCCACCAGAATCTTGTGGACAATAACCTCATTTCCATGGACACATATTTGGCTCAATTTCCAGACATAAAGGTTTGTTTTTGCTTTAATAAGTGGTACATGTAAGCATTTCAACATTTACAGGAGCTAGTTAGTTATTTTATTGCTGTCCGAATCCAGAATATCTGTGTTTTTCCACCCGTGTAAAATTCCCAGCTAAATTACCTACTGTTTTTGACAAACACCAAGGTTGTGTGGTAATTTAATTGCCGTGTGAATCCACATCTCTCAGTTTACAAGAAGGGATCAATCGAAAAGTGGTTTTGTAAATGTCTTTTGACCACTGCCAAGCACAGTATAATAATGGTTGTGCTTTGTGGTAATGTGCACGCATTTGAAATATGGACACTTTTATTACTGAAATGCTGGAAAATGTTTACAAGAATAATATTCCGTCACGGTTCCACTACAGTGAGTAGGAGCTGTTAAGAACAAAAAAAAGAAAAAAATCATGTACAACTTTGAAATGGGTCATTATTATGGTATGCAATAAATTTGTAAAATATTTATTATAAGCTATAAAGTTATACACTGTAAAAAAAACTATTTCAACTTAAAAACTTAAGTGTAAAAAACTTAAGTGTAATCAGTTTGGTTGTACAAGTCATTTCAACTTACATTACGTTAAACTGACTTAAAAAAAATCAAGCTAAATTTCATATCATTCATAACTTTTTTTTAACTTAAATTTCATAACTTATAAAAAAAGCTAAAACTGCTTTACTTATTTTGATGAGTTAAAGTAACGTAAAACCATAAGTTGTCATGACTTACTGATCATAATTTTTTACAGGGTATAAATTAGGGCTTGCACAATTAATTATTTTACTAACCGAGCAATAGTCAAATGTTTACCTTATGTAAATAAGAGTTTGCTTTAACTTATTTCTGCTAATTTCCATATTTTTGAAATAACATCAATTTGAAAGATAAAATGCAAGACAGAAATCCATTTCATCTATAGTGCATTGATTATCCTATTTTTTAAATTGTAATATTAAACATTTAAAAAATATTTAAAAATAAAATAATAAATAGAGATATTATTTTCCTGGCATTCAATTAAATATGAGAAATCCAAGCAATAACAGACATTAGGTGTGTTCGGTTTCATGCAGTGCTGTGCAAACCAATCGGTGGCTGACTTGAAGCAGTGCATGCCGGTTAGAAATTTTCTCGAGACAGCGCAGACACCACATCACTGTGACGTATGGCATCAGAGTCATAGATATGATCAGAATACTGCGAGAGCGATTTAAGAGCAGTCGGCTGACTCTCCAGAGCAGCTGCAGGAGCTGGTGTAAATCGCCATACCAATGCATGACTTTTATCACTGATGTGCTATGAAAATTTATTACTGACGCCCCCCATGAGAAACAATTAGTGCCCAAATAGGGCTTTACATAGAAGATGTTCCGGCCACATCTAGACACCAGAATATAATCAAGACGTGCAGGTGCATCACATGGCAAGAACCCCCTAGTAACACTCACAACCTTATAACAACACCCTGGCAACCATTTATGGCCATTGTCTATTTACACTAGTTAGTTACTGCTGTGTTAGGTGGACTTGTGACTCTGACTCCCTCTGCAGGCTCGCATCGCTAAGCGCGAGAGGAAGCTGGTAGATTTTGACAGTGCCAGACATCATTTTACCTCTATACAGAAAAGCAAGAAAAAGGATGAGGCCAAAATTGCCAAGGTACCGGATGCTCGTTCCAGCTTGTTAATGTATGCTGATACTGTACTGTTAATGTATGCTGATACTGTACTGTCTGGCTTTTTGTCCTTAAACCTTGTTAACTAACCAACTCAACTTATAACTGCTATAATAATGAGTAATTCATGTATTGCAGTCAGTTTATATGCTTGAGTGAGTGTATGTGTGTGTTTGCACAAGCTTTTATCTTGCCTGATGAGATTTTGTGAGCTAACAACAGCACTTGAGTGTGTTTGTCGCTGTTCTCTCTTCTCTGGGTGTGTCACTCTCTCTTTGCTGCATGTCTAGCCTCTGGCTCTAGTGGAGATGGCTGCTCCCGGCTGGGCTCAGGGAATAATCACAGCACATCAGATCGCTCAAACTAACCTCTCGAGAAGCCAGGTGACTCAACTGTCACTCAGTCTGTAAACCCTCCCTTAATCTGCATAACCCCACCCATCTACTCACAGTCCACACCCACCCACACTTCTTATGTAGTATCTGTGTTCCTCAGGTGTATTTCCTTATAGTTTTTATGTCTGACATAAAAATTATTTTTGTTTAAAAGTTTGGGGTCAGTAAGATTTTTTAATGTTTTTGAAATAAGTCTTTTATGCTCACCAAGGCTGCATTTATTCAAAATTGAGTAATATTGTGAACTATTATTACAATTTTAATTAACTATTTTCCATTTGAATATATTTTCAAATTTATTCCTGTGATGCAAAGCTGAATCATCATTACTCCAGTCTTCAGTGTCACATGATCCTTCAGAAATCTTTCTAATATGCTAATTTGCTGCTCAAGAAACATTTCTTATTATCGTTTATGTTGAAAACAGTTTTTCTGCTTAATATTTTTGCGGAAACTGTGATTTTCACGATTCTTTTTAAAGTTTAAAACAATAGCATTTATTTTGCAGTCTTTACTTTCACTTTTGATCGATTTAATGAAATGACATGTGGGTGAGTAAATGTTTTATGTTTTAAATGCTCTCCGCAGATTCCAGTAAAAAGGAATCAGATCACAGGGTCCATTTGTCCACAGTCTATTCGTGCAGAGTTGAATGCGTAATTCTTTGTATATGCATTTTCATAAATTATAGTGTCTTTAGCCTAATGACCGTGTGTGTTTGTGTGTGTGATTAGGCCGAGGAAGATTTGGGCAGAGCTCAGAAGGTATTTGAGGAGATCAATTATGATCTCCAGGAGGAACTTCCCACCCTGTGGAACAGGTAATAACCACATATTCATCCTGCCATGATCTCTCTGTTTATCTCTATTATTCCTTCCCCTTTCTATCATCTTAAAGCAGTGGTTCCCAATCCTGGTCCTGGAGAACCCCCAACACTACACTGTTTTGGTGTCTCTCTTATCTGACACACACATTTGAGGTCTTGGAGTCTTCACTAATGAGCTGATGAGTTGAATCAGGTGTGTTTGAATAGGGAGACATCTAAAATGTGCAGTGTTGGGGGGTTCTCCAGGACCAGGATTGGGAACCACTGTCTTAAAGGAATAGTCCACCTAAAAATGAAATGCCATCACATTGTTCTAAACTTATTTTATTTTTATTTTTTTTCCGTGGAACACAAAAGGATTATTTTGTAGGATCTTCACACAGCTCTTTTCCATATAATAATAGTTCAAACAAAGTGATCACATCTGACAAGCTCCGAAAAGGACAAAAATGCAACATAAAAGCCATACAATAGCTACGACAGAGAGGACACATTTTTCTTAATTTTTTATTTATTTTTTACATTGACATTACAAAAGTCTTTACTGTCACTTTTTTATTTAATGCATCCTTGCTAAATACAAAAAATCTTATTGACCCTAAACTGTTGACTTGTATGGCTTAAGACTTGCAATATAGCATGAGTCCTATTTTTATGATATTTTATGTTGTTATTAGTCCTTTTGTGAGCTTGAGAGATCACAATGAACTGTCTTTATATGAAAAGCTGTGCAAATATTCTTCTTTTGTGTTCTAAAAAAAAACATGAATAACATTTGAATAACATGACAACAAGTAAATAAGAGAATATACATTTTTGGTGTATTTTGGTGAGAATATAAATTTTTTGGTGTATGTTTTTCCTTTAAAAGAACTGATGTTGACTTGTCTCTGTCTCTCTCTCTCTGCAGTCGTGTTGGCTTGTATGTGAACACATTTCAGAGCGTTGCTGGCCTGGAGGAAAAATTTCACAGGGACATGGGCAAAGTGAGCCAATAATAAGAGACTTGTTAACAAGAGATAAATAAGATTATTGTTGTTAGTTACCAGGGTATGTTGCACTCTCTCACTCACAGCTGAACCTGAATCTGAGTGATATTATGACCAAACTGGATGAGCAGCGTCTAGCCAAGTGAGTGCTTTTATCCTGGGATATTTCCTGTCTGTATAGACACTTCTGGTTTCCTGTAGTTTAGCTCACAGATGTGTGAGTTCTTGTTTTCCCTGTAAATTAAACCAACCCTCCCCCAAATAACCCACAGAAAAGGTGTCACGACAGCAAGCACTGGGAAGAGGTAACAGCTCCCATGTTTTATATGTGTTCATGCAACATTTATTGCATTAAAGATGCACTTCAACAAGGTTATTTAAATCACGCTCTCCCTTCTCATATAATATCTCGTTTTGGTGTAAATCTCTTTAATGACTTAAGAAATTCAGCTGAGATTTGCACTTTTTTGTTGTTTTATTTTACACATGAAGGAAAAACAAATGTTTTGTCTCTCAGGCCTTCTTCTGAAGAAACAACTGAATTTTTGGTGCAATTCACAGCTGAATTATTAAAGATGCACTAATACTTGATTGCTGTGGAAAATTACCGCTTGCATGGGACCGCGTGTATATGCTGAAATGAAAAATATAACTGCATGTCTGGAATGTCTTTGAAATGCAGTAATTGTGCATGGTAGTGATTTAAACCATTCTGCCTGCAGTATTAACGCTGATCTCTGCTGCCACCTAGTGATCAATTCAAGTCAGGACACCCATGACTGTGCAATGCCAAGTGGAGTATTTATTTACCAATGTGCGTTTTTCATGCAGTGAAGAAGCAGCCAACCACAACCTCTCTGAGTCTGGGTCAGATGCCCCTAAATCACCAGCAGAGGTATTGTGAGAAAGCTGATGTTTTTATGTGCTCTATATTATGTTTTTAAATTTGTGTTTTGTTTGTTTGTCTTACAGTGTGTATAAAACTAAAAACTAAAGAAGCAAAAAAATAAAATAAAATAAAATAAACCAAATACTTTTTTAATGCATTTATACAGCATACATTGCAGTGAGGTTTTTGTACTGTGCATCCTCATAAATAAGTGATGGCTCACCTCATAGGAGAAAATGTTGAATTATTTTTTTTACTCTTAAAAAATGTGAAGAGTTTAGACCAGTATTTATAATTAACCTTACAGCAGTGTTATTCTAGTATTATTTATTTATTATTATATAGCATTATATATAGAGTATTTATTCATATTTTTTAATTTCCATTTTTCTTTTAATTTTATTTTAAGTTTGAGCAATTTTGATAAGTGCTTTTGTCATTTTTATTCTTTTTAATAGTACCACAGCTTAAGCTGATTTTATTTCAGTTGCCGAGACATTTCTAAAACGTTTTTTAAGTTTACGTTTTTCATCTAATATTTGTTATTTTATTCCAGCTTTATTTATATTATAGTATTTATTAACATTTTTATTTTTATTTTTATAATTTCAGTTTTCATTTTAACGTTAGTTTAATTTTTAGGAATTTGTTGTGTGGTTGTGTATTTTGTAAAAAAAAAAATAATAATAATTTTTTACAAAATAGTTCTATTTAGCTTTTATTTATTTTATTTCTGTTTTAGTTTTAGTACCACAGAACCACACAACTTATTTTATTTCAGTTAGTTGCCAAGACATTTATAAAAGTTTTTCATCTAATATTTATATTTTATTTAATTTCAGCTTTATTTCTATTAATGAAAATGATTTGTAGTAGTTTTAGTTTAACAATAACAACACTGCCTTACAATAGAGTTTGTAGATAAGTAGGTAAACATGAGTGTGTGTGTGTAAGCAAACTTAAAGCATGTTATCAAAAATCTAATCAGGAGCAGTTATGAGTTGGCGTTTTATTAACCCTGAGTGTGCTGTGTGTCCTTGTGTGTGTGTCTGCATGTGTGTGTTGGTGTGGCAGTCCAGAGAAAGACCGCCGGTCTCACAGCCGCCCAGGCCGGCTTCATCTCAGGAGGTGAAACAGGATAACATCATTGACCTGTTTGAGGATGCAGTGGTGCCTGAAATTAACATTTCAACCCAGCCACAGGTCAGAGGTCAAATGACTCCCATCCTCCTCTTAGCACACCAATCTCTTCTTGGCTTCATCTCCATTTCATTTATTCATCATCTTCATTCTTAATTAGCATGTTCATCCTCCATTTCCACCTTGCAAGTGACTGTCGCCATCCTATTATTAAAGGGGTCATATGATGCGATTTCAATTTTTCCTTTCTCTTTGGAGTGTTACAAGCTCTTGGTGCATAAAGAAGGTCTGTAAAGTTGCAAACACTAAAGTCTCAAAACCAAAGAGATATTCTTTATAAAAGTTAAGAGTTAACCACGCCTACCTAAAACGGCTCGTTCTAACACACCCCCACATACCTACGTCACTATGTGGGAAGATTTGCATAACACCGCCCAAATGTTCACGCAAAGAAAAAAGGCGTAACTTTTATTCTCACTGTAGTATTGTTGAAACTGCCGCCATGTCGTGGAGACGCTGTGTGTTTCGTTGTGAAAGCGAAACTACTTTGTTTGGCCTTCCAAAAGAGGACGATATCCGCTTCATCATGCCTAGAGCTGATCCGTGCTGGTCGCTAAGGGAATACATCAACTTTGCGCTGTGGATAACCGGATCGGCTTTCACCGTGGACGAAGCCCGGGGTCGTCACATGTGGTTGCCGCAAGCCCACCCACCGCCGCTCACTCTAGGCCTCCGCTCACTCTAGCCCACCGTGTGTGACGCTGTGTGTTTCGTTGTGAAAGCGAAACTACTTTGTTTGGCCTTCCAAAAATGGACACGACTAGAAATCAGTGGTTAAGTTGTATTTACAACACTGTTCCAGAACACTTCAACCCAGTTTTGTAAAAATCGACGCGTTTCAAAAAGGCGGGGCATAGAGGAGAAACAATAATGTACAGTATGTGGAAAATAATGTGTTTTTTTTACTTTAAACCGCATAAACACATTTCATTACACCAAATACACAAAATAATGTTCTTTTTAGCAGCATCATATGACCCCTTTAACTCTCTTTCTGCTTATTCAACTGAAGTATCACTGGCTTTTGTCAACATTACCATCTTCTCTTTATGCAAACCAGTGATTCCACTAAATATGGTCATTTCTGTAGTAAAGCTGGTGTTTTATACTGTGCTCAGCAGTGTAATGGTCCAGTAGTGTGTAGGCTGCTGGATTTAGATCTGGATGCTTGGCAAGCAATCAGCGCTGCTCCAGCCCACCAGCTGGGGGTCAGAGGACAGGAAGGGGCAGGGTGGCAAAGGGTAAAGGTCAGGGCTCAGAGACAAGAAAAACCACCCGAAAACTGCATACTACTCTGCTATTTCTGCTATAGAAATATATGGTAAAAGTAGTAAGAGTAGTATGCAGTTCTGAATTCAGCACATGCTGCCATCTAAGATGCATGCAACAGGTCGGCCTCTTGAGTTTTGAAGTGAAATTAAATTTCTGCATGTTTCCCCTTTGAGTTTTTGGGAACTGAAATGCCACTTTCAGCATGTAACGCAATAACTGCATGCATGTGATGCGTGTTAACTTGCTTCCTACTAGCTCCCAAAACAAGGTCCAGGGAACAGAAAAAACAGACATTTACAAAAAATAAAATATATAAAATATACACAACCATTCAAAAGTTTGGGGTCAGTAAGATTTGAACACATGAATACTTCTTCAGCAATGATGCTTTTGAACTTTCTATTCATAGATTCCTGAAAAATGTCTCAATTTCCACAAAAATATTATACAGGACAACTTTTTGCAACATCGATAATAATGAGAAATGTTTGTTGAGCAGCAAATCAGCATATTAGAATGATTTCTGAAGGATCATGTGACACTGAAGACTGGAGTAATGATGCTGAAAATTCAGGAATAAATTACATTTAAAATATATTCACATAGTTAGTGAAGTGACATGTGGCCAAGTATGGTGACCCATACTCGGGATTAGTGCTCTGCATTTATCCCATCCAAAGTGCACACACACAGCAGTGAACACACACACACCGTGAACACACACCCGGAGCAGTGGGCAGCCATTTTTTGCTGCGGCGCCCGGGGAGCAGTTGGGGGTTCGGTGCCTTGCTCAAGGGCACCTCAGTCGTGGTATTGAAGGTGGGAGAGAGCGCTGTACATTCACTCCCCCCACCTACAATCCCTGCCGGTACGAGATTCGAACCTACAACCTTTGAGTTATGAGTCCGACTCTCTAACCATTAGGCCACGACTTCCCTATTGTTATGTTAAATAATAATAGTATTCAAAATATTAAAGTTTGCAATGTATTTTTGATCAGTAATATGCAGCCTTGGTGACTTTTTCAAAAACATATTAAAAAATGTACAAACCCCAAACTTTTCAATGGTAGTGTATAAACAAATATTTGGGCTAATTTTACTTTGTTGTCAGCTACTTATTGTATTGTAATACTCTCAGCTCTGTTTGACACATTTTACCATGGTTATATTCACTCCACAGAATTCCATCAATTTTCCCCTAAAATCTCAGCAAAAATGCAGTAATCAGTCTTTAGATTCTATTGTCTGGGGATTATTCATTGCGAATATTACTGTATATTAATTTTCTACTTACTCCTCTACATGGTGTTCCAGTATCCACTATTAGATCACTTCACCTTTAACAAATGCTCTCTTCTCATGTTTGCTGCAATAAAAAAAAATCTCTGAACACTGTTATGAGCACAAGCTCCTGTAAGTGGGCTTTATAAGAGCTCTCTTCTTACTGTTGACATGGTGATAGACATATACTTTGCACTCTTATTATGGGCCTCATTTATCTCACTCTGTCTTTCTGTGCTGCCTCATGGAAGGAGGCTTCATGGGATTCATGGGAGGTAAGATCTTGTGCTGTGTTGGTACTCTTGCAATCATGGATCAGATCTCTCTTGATATAATCTTAGTGGTTTTTGTGGTCTGATTGATCATGGCAGTGGGTTGCACTCAAAGAGCCAAAAAGAACCATTTGATGGGGCTTTTGGATGAAAGTCTTCTACAATCTTTGGATTGACAAATTAAAAACAAAACCACACACAAACTAACAGACATTTAGCAAAAGTTAAACCATATTCAATAGTTTTAATAGACACAGTATGTCTCATGTTCAGCCAAATTATTTATGCTGGAATTCATACTCGGTTGATTTGTGAGCTGAAAACACAAGTCCATTACAAAAACAAGAAAAAACTTTATATCTTAATATAGACAAGTAAAAAAATACAATGTACAGTTTGCTTTGCTCAGGGGTTCACATGCACCTCTATTTGGGTTTGTGTGTGTGTAAATCTTGCTACGTGGTGAATTCTATAATAACAGATTTCACTCATTTTACAAGACTTAAAAGATTTACACTGTAAAATGTAATTAATTAAATAAAATAAATAATGTATAGTAATTGTCAGGGTTATTATCCTAACCCTAACATTTTGAACAATTTTTTAATAGAAATAAGGCTGAAGTAAAATATAAATTTAGATGAAAAACCTACAATTATTTCAGTTAGTTGCCAAGGCAACATTTCTCACTTTCGTTTAGTTTGAGTTGAAGCAGTAAAATTACTTACTAAAAATAAAGTAAAAACTAAAACTGAAATAAAAATAAATGAAAACTTTTTAAATAAACAAAAACTTATAAAAAATGGCTTAACAAAATTACTAAAAAAATTTAACTAAAATTGAAATATAAATAAATAAAAGCTAATTCAAAATATTAATAAAAAACTACAAATAATCCTAAAATAACCATTTTGGGAGTTTAGAATGAATAATTCACGTCTCTTCATCTTTTAATTCATTTATTCCCTTTTTCTTGCTAATTATTTGCGCCTTTTGCCGTATTGCCTGCCCTTTTCTCCCGGCATCTATTTTACCTCCCAAAATCCAACAAACAATCCTGGTGACCCTTCCTCCCCATCCCAGCCTGGTCAGAGCCCTGCTGCAGACCCCTCCCAGCAGTGGGACACGGATGAAGAAGCTGCTGCTCAGTCTTACAGCCAGCAGCCATTTGAAGCTCCCCGCTGGGATGAGCAGGAGAGCGTGTCTGCGCAGTCAGGCTGGGGCAATGAAACAGCTACGCCTGCGCAGCCGGACTGGGAGGGCGATGGTGTGGAGCACTGGGGCGAGGAAGGGTCCCAGGTAGGGCAAAAGCAAGACGCAGATACAAACTGGGGCCGTGGTACGGCTCAGGCTTGGGAGGCGGAGTCAGAGCGGCCTCAGTGGGAGGAGCTTCAAATTGTAAGAGGAACAAGATTAATCGTGGTTGTATTGTGGAGTAATGTCATAGAGTTAGGATGGTTCAGAAGTAGATCATGTTGTTCTGTGGTGTGGATGCTTTCCATAGTGGTCATGTTAAATGTCCCTTTTGTGTACATTTCTATGTATAGAAGGTTTGTTTTATTCTGTTGAGTTGCTCAGGTGTAATTAACTGTTTCTCTTTATTCTTTGTATTTAGAATGAAGCGCCAACAGTGACAAACGGCTCATCAGATGCAGAGCTTCCTCCATCTGTTCTCTATAAGGTAAGTTGCACTGGGAACCCAAGATCTCAGAGTTTTAACATGGTAGAATTGACTATATTATACAATATTATCTACAACATCACTGTATTTTACTGTATTTTGATCAAATAAATGCAACCTTGTTGCGCATAAGAGACTTCTTTCAAAAACATTGACCCCTGTCAGTAATACAGCACTATGGAAGTCAATGGCTACCCGCAACAGGTTACCAACATTACCAATATCTTCTTATCTTCAGAAGAAAGAAACTCATACAGGTTTGGAACAACAAGAGGGTGAGCAAGCGATGACAGATTTTCATTTTCAAAAATGAAAATTCTGTCACAATACTTATTCACCCTCATGTTCTTCCAAACCTGTATGACTTTCTTTTTGTTGTGGTCTTTCTGGACACTCTTTTCAATATAATATAACTGAGGCTATGAATCTCCAAAATGACAAAAACCATCATTAAACTATTATAAAAGTAGTCCATATGACTAATGCAATACAGTTGTGGTCAAAAGTTTACATACACCTTGCAGAATCTGCAAAATGTCAATTATTTTACCAAATAATACAGGATCATACAAAATGCATGTTATTTTTATTTAGTACTGACCTGAATAAGATGTTTCACATAAAGGACATTTACATATCGTCCACAAGAGAAAATAATAGCTGAATTTATAAAAATGACCCCGTTCAAAAGTACATACAGTATATAGTAAAACAGTAAAATGTATAAATATTATCACTATTTATAATAAGTATTTTCTATATTTTATTATATTTTAAAATGCAATTTATTACTGTCATGGCAAAGTCTTCAGTGTCACATGATCCTTCAGAAATCACTCTTAATATGCCGATTTGCTGCTCAAGAAATATTTCTCATCACTGATGAAAACAGTTGTTCTGTTTAATATTTGTTTATTTTTTTGTTTTTTTGGAAACCATGATACATTTTTCAGGATTCTTTGATGGAAAATGTTTGATACAAAGTTCAAAAGAACAACATTTATTTGAAATTGAAATTAGAATTTTTTTTGTAACAATGTAAAAGTCTTTACTGTCACTTTTGACATCTTTTATGAATAAATTTCTTCTCTCTTTTAACAAAAAGAATATTTGTTTATTTTTTTGTTTTTTTGGAAACCATGATACATTTTTCAGGATTCTTTGATGGAAAAACGTTTGATACAAAGTTCAAAAGAACAACATTTATTTGAAATTGAAATTAGAATTTTTTTTGTAACAATGTAAAAGTTTTTACTGTCACTTTTGACATCTTTTATGAATAAATTTCTTCTCTCTTTTAACAAAAAGAAATCTTGCTAAGCCCACATGTTTGATTAATGGTATGTGTATAAATCGAATTTACTAACATGATTTTTTGGTAGGTGAAAGCAATACATGACTACGGAGCAACAGACAGCGATGAGCTTGATCTGAAGGCTGGTGACATTGTGCTTGTGCTTGCCTTTGCCAACCCAGATGAACAGGTGAGTCATGGCACCCATGTTTATACATGCATTCAATCGGACAATGACTCATTGTCTTTTTGTTTGTGTGCGCAGGATGATGGCTGGTTAATGGGTGTAAAAGAGTCACACTGGCTTCAGAATAAAAACCTCCTAGCTAAAGGAGTCTTCCCTGAAAACTTCACCCAGAAACTGTGAGCGGAACAGCCCTCTCAGAATCACCTGTTCTTATCCGTTGTTTTCTCACCACTTTACTGTGATAACATTTTTTATAAAACATCTTCAAAAATAAGGGCTTCTCAAGCACAAAAAAAGCTCTATTCTACATACTGTGGTCACTTGTAGAATTGGAGTAAGAATAAACGATAAGATTTGATAATATTTGCAGCAGCATGCTTTACCCTAAACTTCATAAAGTAATATGGGCCACATACACCCTTGCAGCCAAACTAGCTTGTCAATTCACCTTTTAGTGCTTAATCCTGATCTGTACACGCACAGTTTAGTAATTTATGGAAGTGACAACTGCATTTACAAAACTTTTTTGCAACGTGTTTGCAACCGAAGTAAACAACTAGTTGCTAATGACAAATTGAAATGCATATCAGAGATGTGTCACTCTTCTTTGTGCGAGGTGCAAGCACATCACAGGGAAAGAGATACGACCCTTGACTCATTTGTGTTGCCAAGTCTTGCTAGAATACAACAGCAAACAAACAAAAACTAAACCTAAATAAATTTATATGATTTATATTGGAATAAGACTAAAATATTGCAACCTGCAACTGCCTACTTTAACAACTGGATCGCTTTATGAGCGAAACGATGAGCCCAAATATGCTTATAATAAGGGGACATGGCAACACTACAAGACTTTTGACACTGACCATTCAACACTGCACATATATGTGACCCTGGAGCACAAAACCAGTCTTAAGTCGCTGGGGTATATTTGTAGCAATAGCCAAAAATACATTGTATGGGTCAAAATTATCGATTTTTCTTTTATGCCAAAAATCATTAGGATATTAAGTAAAGATCATGTTCCATGAAGATATTTTGTAAATTTCCTACCGTAAATATATCAAAACTTAATTTTTGATTACTAATATGCATTGCTAAGGACTTCATTTGGACAACTTTAAAGGTGATTTTCTCAGTATTTTGATTTTTTTGCACCCTCAGATTCCAGATTTTGTATTTTGCCAAATATGGTCATATCCTAACAAACCATACATCAATGGAAAGCTTATTTATTCAGCTTTCAGATGATGTATAAATCTCAATTTCAAAAAATTGACCCTTATGACTGGTTTTGTGGTCCAGGGTCACATATTTGAAACTAAAAACACAACACCTCTGTTGGCAGTGATATGGTTAAAACTGCTGAACATAACCAGTATTTGGTCACTGTAATATTACTTCAGTCAAAAATACTATATACTAAACGGGCAAGATGCCAGAATGTTGCTATGATTACCATGTCAATCATCACAATTTCAGGACCGAGTTCTGCTCCACACACACAAAATGATCATTTAGGGGATTCACACTTGTACACTCTAATATATATATTTAGCGTCCTCTCGTTCATTTCATAAACACACTTTTGTAATGGGATCCATTTAAAGGGCCTTAAAGCTAAGCCTCACTTGTTTCTTAATACTTCTAATGTGATATTACCATCCAAAACAACACTAAACTGACAGCACTTTGATAACTTATTCCTTGGTTATAACAGCTACTAACAATATAAAACAAAGCTCCAGCTTCCCCAATCTGACTTGATTATATGTTTCATGTGCATTTATTGTCATGGGAACAGTCTGGGAACAGATGAGAAATGTTTGTTCCTGGGCTCCATGGCCACCCAGCCGGTTAACAATAGTTTACAGAATTAATTAGGGTTCAGATATGACATAATAAGCGCTTCAGGTGAGTGCCAGGGTCAGTTTGCACTGCTTATGTAGAGACAGAAACAAAGAGAAAGAGCTTTTAGAGAAGTAGATTTGGCTGATAGTATACTTTTGAGTGTAACTGGATAAATGCACAAAATGCTAAAACACATGAAGAAGACAAGGGTAAAAAAAAACACATGCCATATCCAAAACAGCGCAGTCACACTTGTACACTCTAAGAAATGCTGGGTTAAATACAACCCAGTGCTGGGTAAAATAGGGACAAACCCAGCAATTGGGTTGTTTTGACCCAACGGTTGGGTTAAATGTTTAACCCAACCTTCTGGGTAGTAACCCAACCACTGGGTCAAAACAACCCAATTGCTGGGTTTGTCCCTATTTTACCCAGCACTGGGTTGTATTTAACCCAGCATTTTTTAGAGTGTATTTAAATGCGGTTGTCACTCCTGAAACTTTACAGTGTGAACGTGGCCATGACACCACAATTAAAAAAATCGCTAATAGGGATGAAGACTGGGGCCGATTTGATTGGTGTTTGTCACTGGGCTAATTTGGGAAGTTTCTTTAGTACACGAAGCATCAGATTTTTTGCCCTGAATGTGACATGCATGAAATCTTTTACTCTTTTGCTTAGTCAACATGAAATACTAAATTTTTAACATGCTTACTGTTCACAATTCTTCAGTGCTTGTTCCACATACAGTAAAATAAAAAAATGTGTAAAATCGGTTAGAGACTGTTTCCACCAAGTATAAATAGAAACAAATAGCATCTTGTTTACAAGTGCAGCGAATGATAGATGCTCTTCACATGAAGTGTAAATAGAAGTAATAAGATAAAATATCTTGTGGGCAGAGTTAGTAAAAGTTGCCTATGTCAAAAAGGTTGTCTACCTACATAGCCGGCTGATGTCTCAAACCAATCAAGTCCTGAAGTCCCACTCTACAGTACATCCTGTTTTATTCAGAAATACAGCATATTTAGGGAATAAAGTGGGAAGTGCAAACTCCATTTCATGTTGACTTTAAAATCAGGAAATTCTGCTGGTTTTATTATCTCTAGATTCTCCTGTACAACCCCTTATTACAATTATATTTTAACATGTTCCCTAGATGGGGTTTCTAGCATTGCATGTGAGGGGCTCATCTCAATACTCTTATGATCAAAAACTTTATATTTATGTTTTTCTTTGTACTGTTATTGAGATCTTCAGGTATATGCCACCAAAGATTATGAAAAGTATGCGAGGGGACAAACCACTGTGTTGTACTGTATCATGAACAACAGTTTGCTTGAAACACTTTTTGCAATGTATTTTAAAATCGAATAGGTTTAATCATTTGTCATGTTGCATGAATGTTTTATAGTTCCGTTTAGACAGGTGCACAAAGGATTTATTCTTTAAAGAACTGGAGAGGATCAGACAAATCTCTTAATAAAATAGAAAATCATGTCAAAAATACAGATTTTAATTTTCATATTGATCTGGGAAAATGTAGTCTGTGATGCACTAATACTGTGATGGCAGGCAACATTAAGGTGGAAACACTGAATGAATTGAGCAGGGTTTATTCACATACTTTACTGAGATTGTACAGTATTTCTCCACCACTGTGATCCAGGCCGAATCTGTTATTTAAAATCTGGATATATGCCTGGTTATAATACCGCTGCCATGCTCGATAGAAATATCCACACTAACATCTCTTTTTAATCTTTTTCAAATTCAGTTTTCTAAAATGTTAATTACATCAGGTAAGAAATGCCACTGCATTGTTAAATGACTTATATTCAGTATTTCAGCACATTTAGCACCTGGATAAAGTGGATTGGTTGAAATGCAAAAGTGCTGCAACTAAATCGGCCCTCTGTTTTAATGCCTAATGATATAACCTGATATCAAATATACAGGGATTCTGCTTTTGCCAAAACAGCGTAGAATCTCCCAAGTAGGGTAAACTAGCTGCTAATTTGTGAACTGTTACTCTAATGTATTGTCGACTCTCACATGGTCAGTACTGTGTAAATCTAGAGTTTATATAATATCTCTCTCTGACCTGTTTACATATCAGAGCTCAGCTGTAATTTTCTTACCTGGTAAGCTCTTCGAATCAGTTTTGAATATTAAAATATGTATCAGGCATTTGAACAAACAGACAGCTGCAAGAGGTCTAGTCTTTTCACGGTTCCTTCTAACAAAAAAACGTGTGAATGTTGAAAGTGACTCCAAATGTTCTGATATTTAAAACTAGCCTGTGAAAAAACTGAGCTGTATCTCATTAACTATATATACATTTAATCAGAAAGGGAAAATGTCCTGCAACATTTTGGTAGCTTAGGATGTTCTGTCTTAATATGCAGTTCTCTGTAAGAAGTACCCTGTCAAGAAGCATATTAAAATTAAAATCATACTGAACTTATATATATATCTGACAGCACTTTGATAACTTATTCCTTGGTTATAACAGCTACTAACAATATAAAACAAAGCTCCAGCTTCCCCAATCTGACTTGATTATATGTTGCATGTGCATTTATTGTCATGGGAACAGTCTGGGAACAGATGAGAAATGTTTGTTCCTGGGCTCCATGGCCACCCAGCCGGTTAACAATAGTTTACAGAATTAATTAGGGTTCAGATATGACATAATAAGCGCTTCAGGTGAGTGCCAGGGTCAGTTTGCACTGCTTATGTAGAGACAGAAACAAAGAGAAAAGTAGATTTGGCTGTTACTTCATAAACACACAAACTGCTAAAACACATGAAGACAAAAAAAAACCTACAAATTTTAGAGAATGAAAACCATAAGTCTGATTAATATAATAATATGAACCTCTCCTCAACAAGATGCATGACATTCATGCCCGTACCACATACCAGTTTACATGCCATATTTTAAAAATACAAATATAACCACAATGCTTTAAAAATGTCTGTAATTTTAAGAAAATATAGTCCACATTACAACTATAAGAGCGATTTTTCCAGTTAAGGGACAACACTGAAAGCCAATCAAGATGGACTTTTAAGCGTTTAGATTAGACACAACATTATTGTCTGTTGGTATGAATGCTCATATAGTTATCATTACAGTTTTCATTTTTGGTGTGAACAGGCCTTTAAAGAGTTCGATCAAATCCCTAACCTTGAGTATGAGCAATAGTGATTGTGCCACAGTGTGTCAAAGGTTCAACGTTGTTGGAACAAAGATTAAGTTCACATTCCTAAGTTTTTAGATTGTTCTTCCATTGGTGATACAAACCCCACCAAAGATGTGATCCACCAGTGCAGGGTTGAATATTAATGGCTGTGGGTGAATGGACGAATGTTGACCTGTTAGAGTGTGCCTTTTTCAGGAAACAAGAAGCACTGGGATGTGACTAGGCCTGTTTGT